CTTAACTTTATACATGTAAAGAATGTCTCCAACGTCTTTTTAGAATGAAGCTCACCATAGCTTGAATATATGCGACTAAAGCTTGTTGTAGCTTCTTGGCTTTCATCCTTGTCATTGGACCTTGAAGTATGAAAATTCCTTGGTCGTGGTTCATATCACATTGGCCCTCACGTGCTTATGCTATGTCATTTACGGATATTGTACCGGATAGTAGGTACAAAATTCAACCTCTGACACATGGGTAGGGACATAATACTGACACACTCGTGTCGCCCAATACTATCCTTAAAAAATCTATTTCAAAGAAAGTCTCTCAAGACACTCGTCTCGGAACCCTGCCCTCAATGTGACATATGCATGTGCCACAGGGTAGCTCGCTTAGGCCACAAGACTCAGGAGTGGTGGAGAGGTGACAACATGCCCCTCCCATAAGGTACATTTTTAGGTATTTCCAAATTGTCAGGTGTAGACATGATTTTGGAGAACGGACATACGATGTCATGGAGCATCCGTCCGGTGCCCTATTGACACCAAATTTTGCAAGCTTTCATATTTCATATGGACGGACTCGACTTCAGAACTGCATGCCTAAATGCTCTTCGAAATCTCAACTTTCGAAGTTAAGGCTCAGTACTGTACCCTTTCCTTGAACAAACTCTTGTCTACTTGTTTCCCTTATCTTGCTTATACCTCATCTTCTCTTCAATGCTTACTCTATATGGTGTGTTAGATGACGCACCATCCTCTTTGGTCTCATCATAACACTCGTCTAGGCTCTCACATGGTCATCTCTTCTTTTGTCGTAATATGAGGGTCATAACCTACTCTCTTCATAGTAAGGTTGTGACATTTTTCATCCTTTGACACACATATGATCTTACCACAATAACACGTCGTCTAACAATACTGATGATTCCTTCGATCTCTTTGTCTCCTATTTTTCCCAGATTTGGTAGAGGTGTGTATTTGTTGTCTATACGTCTATGATATGCTTTCAGATGTTAGGCTGGACTGATAGCTATATTAATTACATGGTGATGCCTCTAAATACAACCTTAATATCGATCTTTTGAATCTAAGAAAGAACTGGTACATCGTATGATGACAAAGAATACCATATCGAGAGAGTCCTAATGATCACTTGATTTTTAAATTTCTTGAAATCTCCTGTTGAGATATGATTCAAAGTATTCAAAATAAAGATATGATTTAAAGTAGTTGAGATATGATTCAAAGTATTCAAATTACCAAGATTTTGGGAGATTGTTAGCAGATTTGAATTTATCTATATTTCCATAATTTACTATTTCTGATCTAGTGTATAAGCCTATAAATACTGGAATTGTGTAACTCTTTATATATAGAGTCAGAAAACAATAATAAAGTACTGCAGCTTTGATCTATTTTATCTATTCCTATCTCTTTCGATATTCCCTTCCTCCAACAAATTTGGTATCAGAGCCAAGTTCCTGTCAACACAAGCGTGAGTGATTATTTTCTTTCACAAAACAAAATTGACAGTAGCTGGTTTTTCTTCCTCTGCACCATTGTTACCAATCTTTAATGGTGAGAAATATGAGTGGTGGAGCATCAATTGAAGACCTTTCTCATATTACAGGAGCTATGGGACTTGGTGGAGCACGAGTTTGTTGATGTATTAGAACCCACAATAGAAGAAAAGGAAAGACTAAGAGAAACCAAGAAAAACGATGCCAAGACTCTATTCATTATTCAGCAAGCAGTTCATGAGACTATCTTTTCACGAATTGCAACAGCAACCACATCAAAGCATGCATGGTCAATTCTACCGAAGGAGTTTCTAGGAGATTCAAAGGTCATAATAGTGAAATCGCAATCTCTAAGACGTGATTTTGAAACTCTACTCATGACGAATGATGAATCAATTGCTGACTTTTTGTCAAGAGCAATGACAATAGTCAGTCAGATGTGTACCTATGGAGAGAAAATTTCAGACGAAACAATTGTTGCAAAGGTGTTGAGAAGCTTGACTCCAAAGTTTGACCATGTGGTGGCTGCCATAGAAGAAGCTAAGGATCTATCCATACTCTCCATTGATGTACTGATGGACTCACTTCAGGCTCATGAGGCAAGAATCAATAGGTCATCAAATAGGAATGAAGAAAAGGAACTACAAATGAAGGAGACAGCCAATAACGAAGGCAATGAAAGAGAATGTTTATTTAGTAGGCTGAAGTCGAGGAAGATGAAGATTTCGCAACTTCCATGGTGGTCGTGATAACAGGGGTAGATGGAGAAATGATGGACAAAGACAACTCAATGAACAAAGGAATGTCATACAATGTTACCATTGCAGAAGGTATGGGCACACAAAAGCTGATTGTTGGTATAAAGATCAACGAATGAATTTTGCAACAGAGAATGAAGAAGAAGAAGAAAAGCTTTTTATGGCGTGTATGGATACTAATTCAAAAAAATGTGACTTATGGTTTGTTGATAGCGGATGCTCGAACCATATGACAGGCATCAAATCCATATTCAAAGAGCTTGATGAGACGCAAAAAATTAAGGGGCAACTTGGAAATACAAAAGAGATGCAAGTTGAAGAAAAACGTACAGTGAAAGTCGAAACCAGTCATGGTAAGATAAAACAATTAGATAATGTTCAATTTGTACCTAATTTAGGGTACAATTTATTGAGTGTCAAACAATTAATGATCAGAGGACATTCTGTTCTATTTAATGACAACACATGTGCCATTACACATAAGAAATCAGGCCATAAAGTTCAAATTGTCATGACTTCAAATAAGATGTTTCCACTGGATGTTTCTAACATGGAGAATTTTGCTCTTACCGCTAGCACAAAAGATGACTCGACATTACGACATCTCAGATATGGACATCTTCATATGAAGGGCTTGAAAATACTCAGGGATAAAGGTATGGTTTTTGGATTACCAAGAAATGATTCAACTAATTTATGTGAAGGATGCATTTATAAGTAGACTAGGAAGTCCTTTTCTGTTGGAAAAGCTAAAAGAGCTTCACATTGTCTAGAACTAATTCATGGTGATTTATGTGGGTCAATGCAAACGAAGTCCTTGGATGGGAGGATATACTTTTTACTATTCATTGATGACAATAGTCGCATGAGCTGGGTTTACTTCCTACAACATAAGTCAGAAACTTTTTAAAAGTTCTAGATTTTTAAAGCTATGGTAGAGAACCAAAATGGCTGTCACATTAAAGTTTTTCGCACAGACAGAGGTGACGAGTTCATATCTAAAGAGTTCAATCTTTTTTGTGAAGAAGAGGGCATCCAAAAGGAGTTAACAGCTCCCTACACTCCAGAACAAAATGGAATCGCTGAACGAAAAAATCGAACAATTGTGGAGATGGCAAGAAGTATGTTACAAACAAGGAGACTTCCAAATCAATTTTGGGCACTGTAGCAACATCTGTTTATCTATTAAACCTCTCACCAACCAAAGCTATTATCAATCGAACTCCTTATGAAGCATGGCATGGAAGGAAACCATCTGTAAGTCATTTACGAATTTTTGGTTGTGTTGCTTATGTTTTAAAACATTCTCAAACTCGTCAAAAACTTGATGAAAAATCTAAAAAATGCATTTTCATTGGCTATTATACTCAATCAAAGGCATATAAATTATACAACCCCTTAGTGAAAAGATTTTAGTTAGAAGGGATGTAATATTTAATGAAAACGTGAGTTGGGATTGGAGTAAAGAACAGGAGCAACAAAAGATTACCGTTGAAGTTTCTCCAAATGAAGAGACAAGAGTCAACTCTAGTGCATCTCCTAGTGCCTCCACTGCAACACAAAATGTGTCAAATTCATCATCTTGAGCATCACTAAATAGCAATTCTTTTCTTGAAGAACTTTCGGATGAGACACCTCCAAGGAAGTAAAAATCTTTAGCTGACATATACGCATCATGTCAATTTGCTCTTATTGTCTCAGACCCTATGAATTATGAAGAAGCAACTGAAAAAAAGAGTGGAAGAAAGCCATGGCAGTAGAGATGCAATCCATTGATAAAAATGGAACATGGGATATGGTTGACCTACCAAACAAAAAGTTTTATGGAAATCAACAAGAAGAGGTCTATGTAACACAGCTAGAGGGATTCATAAAGGAAGACAAAGAAACAAAGGTATACAAGCTGAGAAGACATTGTACGGGTTAAAGTAGACATTTACGTAGGCTTTGTCAAAAGGAAAGCTCTGTTCCTGACATCTGCAACTTTGAATCAAGGGGGAGTGTTGAGATATGATTCAAAGTATTCAAAATAAAGATATGATTTAAAGTAGTTGAGATATGATTCAAAGTATGGAGATTGTTAGCAGATTTGAATTTATCTAAATTTCCATAATTTACTATTTTTTATTGATTTAGTGTATAAGCCTATAAATACTGGAATTGTGTAACTCTTTATATATAGAGTCATAAAACAATAATAAAACACTGCAGCTTTGATCTATTTTATTTATTCCTATCTCTTTCGATATTTCCTTCCTTCAACATCTACGAGCATCGGTTAGGTCGAAGGATGTGATTGGTTTTCTCTTTATAATCGATCGGCTCCTTAAAGCAGTCTTTGGTACATCTTTTCTCTCTCTAACCTCCATCTAAAGGATAACCTCACAATACCTTCTAATGTGGCCAACCCGAGCCCTTCTTCGTAGTGTGACACTTTGCCATGTTACTCGTTGGAGCACTGTTACTCTTTTGAGATTAAGCATACTATGACAAGAGTTGTTAATTCTTTCCAGAACCTCTTGGTATTTATCTAAGGCAGCTCTTCATTGGCTCGTGGCTGACCTAATTGAGCCTCCTCTAGGAGTGGTAATGTAATACCCGAATTTTTAGATAAATAAATAAAAAAATAAAAAAACAACATAGGGACAAAAGGGTCATTTTGCCCCTACCTTACCTAAGAGGTCTAGTTGTTTGGGCTCGAAAGAGAAAGAAAAGAAAGAGAGAGAGAGAAAGGAGAAAGGAGAAGTTAGGGTTTGGGAGAGAGGAAGAGCGGATCACAAACCGCCGTTGGAGATCGAAATACAAGGCAAGAAACTTCGAAGCAATACTTCTCTCGGTGCAGGAAAAGAAGTTTGGGTGGTGGATCCACTCATTTCGGCAAGAAAATCTGAGAACGGACAAAGTAAGGTTATGAATTTATTGTTTCAATTTTATCTAGATTTTGAGGAGTTTCTTGAGCGTTAGATCTGAAGTTTTTTGAGGTATGTGACTAAATAAGATTCACACAGGTTTCTTGAAGTTCTTGGACGAGAATCGGACGAAAATCGGAGTTTAGTCGGACTTCGGGTAAACCGATCGAAAACAGAAAATGTGAGTTTTTCTGTATCTTTAACGGCCTTAACTCATCCTATGTTCAAGGAAAAAATAAAGGAAAAAAAAATAAATTGTAGAAGTAGAATATGAGATCTACAATTTTGGTGAAGAAACTTTGTTATGGATTACGGATTTAAAGATAAGAAAATTCGAAGAAAATAGATCGAAACCCTAAACCCTAAACCCTAAACCCTAAACCCTAAACCCTAAAACGTTAATCTGGAAATTGAAACACCTGCAGGAGAGAGAAAACGTCGGCCGGCGTACGGAGGAGAGAGGCGGACCCGCGATCGACACGTGGTGAACTGCGGCTAGAGAGGGGTGTCCCACAGGCTAGTTGACACGTGTCAGGGAGCGGATTCGGGTCAACCCGAGTCTGATCCAGCGCTCCGCACGCGACCCGGGAACCACGCGAACTGAACCGAACCACCCGCTGGCCCGCGACTGGGCGGGAGGCTGCGCGTCAAACACCCTCCAGAGCGCGTCAACGCGCATGTAGGCACGTGAGTGACTGTTTTCCCTCCGTTCGACCTCTGTTTGCTTGTTTTTCGCTCCGATTTCAACTCTGATCCTATTTTTATGTAAATTAGGACCTATCAAGGAAATTCCAGAATTTTTGGAACCTTTTCCGGCAAATAATTCAAGCTTGGGAAGGCACGCGTCAACCATGTAAGTAGCCATTTGGATTCCCACGAGCAGTACTTGTAGGAACCGCTAGGAACAAGTATGCATGCTACCACCCATTAACTTAGCTAGCCGGACCTAGTATATTAGTATGGAAACTGCGAAAATGAAATGATTAAGGAAAGCTTGATATGAAATATTTATTAAATCTGTTTGATTGAGATTCTGATGAAGTATGTACGCATGAGGAGGATGGAAAACTTGTGAAATCTGCGCTCCGGGTAAAGATGGACGTTATCTTCCCATTGAGCATGTTTGTTATATTGCATGAACTGCTGCGTGATAACTCTTATACGTGATGATTGCTTGTGTTATCTTTCTTGATGAATAGGAAGAAATTATGAGCTTAGATTAGGGTGCTTGTGACTAAGTAGACAAGATGAGACCCTAGATTGGGGGACCTCTAGAATACCGTGCAATTAGACCCGCAAAATGATTATCGGCGGATCAAGAGCCTAGAATTTCAAACCCGATAGGTTTGTGAGATCAGGCACGAGGTCCTAGAGATACATGAATCCAAGTCTATGTCACCAAGTTCCACCCTAGAAAGAATAATAGGTCACCACGGTAACTGTAGGTAGCCTGCTAGAGTTGAGCAGTGTAGATAGTCTCATCAGAACCTCCACTTCCCTCTCTCCTCCGATACCATACCGTCAAGACAGAGCTCTGGTACGGTGATCGTTGAGCTTTGCAGATCCGGATAGGGAAGTGATAAGGCAACCCTAATCCTCAGCTCCACGATCCAAGCTTTTGTTTTAGCAAGAACCCTTGAATCAAACTAATTAACATCTCCTTATACGAAATTTGGATCAACCAAGAGATAAAGCTAGAATTAGATTACCTCTTACGATCGAAGATCTAGAAGCAAGATTTGGAACCTTGTTCTAAATTGAGTCACTCCACAATCTAACTTGATCAAGGCTTGATTGAATGACACAATCTAACTTGATCAAGGCTTGATTGAATGGCTCGGGTGCAATTCTACCACAATGACTTTTACATAATTTATAAAATTAAACATAGTTTTTTCTAATAAATGTTGATGTGCTTGAGTAGTTAATGCGATAGACTTGAAATTAATTGAGTTCTTCGCACGTAGGTTCGAATTCTATTGTTGACATATTTTTTTTAATCTTCTTGGCAATAGATCCATTTGGAACATCGTGATTCTTATCAGGAAGTGTGACAGGTGCCTGAGGGGTCTTCTGAACAGGACTCCTGGGCCGTAGAAACCCGTCCCTGAGCGGGGGACGTAGAGCCACATAGGATGACTGATAAGAAAAGGAACCACTACAAGGGGGGTAAGATTCAGATTACCTTGTTGATCGAATATCTCAAGGCAAGAACATTATTTGAGATTCGAATCACTCCACAAGCAAGATCAATCATGTCTAGCTTGAATGATTCTTGTTGATCAAATATCTCAAGGCAAGAACACTTGCTTGAGATTCGAATCACTCCACAAGCAAAATTGATCATGTCGAGCTTGAATGATTCTACATGAAACCTAAACTACATAGAATTGCAAAGCCATTGGCTAAAGAAGAGCACAAATGCTTCTTTTTACTATATTTTTCAAGTCTCTTACACATACAACATACATGGCTTTATATAGCCTCAAAATGAAACTATTAAAGGCATTCCAAGAGTTGTAACATTCATACTTAATGGCCATAATTAACCATTATGTAATTGTAACCTATAGTAAATAAAGTCTTAAAATACATAAATGAAATACAATAACTCTAAATTGTAACCCATCCAAAATTTATAACAATCAAACTTCATTCTTCTTCAATGTGGCATGAATTGAAACATCTTTTGATAATTTTGACAACCTTTTCTTCACATCTTCATTGAAGTATATTGTATGATTGATGTCTTTTGGTTCATATCAATGACTCAGTAGCTGACCGGCACACAGGGGGTCGCATCTCGTTTAGTGGATGTATGGTACCGTGTGAGGGACGTCAACTAACCTCCACGGATGATGTTCAGAGAGAGTTACGTATTCAGATCCAGCCATACGATCCCCTCAGATTTACTTATGAGGTCGCGTCTCACCTTAGGACACTGATCATATCACTGCTTAAGATGGGCAAGCCTCCTAAGATACAGAAACGAGAGTTGCAGCTTAGATCACTCTCCTTAGAAACCCGAGAGAGACCGTGGATACCTACCAAGATAAGGATGCGAAAAGAGCCTACAAGTAGGTTGCTTACTAAGTATATTTTTATACTCACCCCTTTCTCCCCTTTTATTTTTCAGGTACCGGTCGAGGTAGGGGGGGGGGGGGG